CCCTCGTCACCTTATTCCACTTAAGCTGTCCTGCTGGAGGCGCTGGGTCAATACAGGCCGTGGTGTTGAGTACTGTCCAGGCTCCAAAAGCATACATACCCTGAGTGCCTTCCTGGGGTCACCTTTTATGCCAGACTGCTGCATACCTGTTTTCAGGGTGGCTTCTGGGCTGTCTCTTTCTACTACATTCATTGATTTGTCTGCCCCACTTGCCTGGAGGGTAGGTTAGGCTACTGTTGGACTCAAGAGTCAATTAGGAATTCGAAGTGTACAATAAAGCAACCTTCTCACCCTTATTTTTAAAATTGCTATATTTCTGTGTCATACCTTAAAACAGCCCATCACTTCATGGACCCTCGCACTGCTCCCCTGTACAAAGAAACTGCCTCAAGGTGTGCTGGGTCTGGCCCAATGTCACCGGGTGAGTATTGGCCCCAGGACAGGAGACTTCTGACTGTTTGTTCACCATTTACCAGTATCTAGGGCAGTGACTCTCCTTAGTGCATGTTTAATAAGCATTTGACTCTGAATTCCAGTCTCTTGGTTGTCAGGCCAGGGGATGCAGAATAAGGACCACCCCTCTCCTCTGCTTTACGCTTCCCTTCTATCACTTTGCAGAACCCCACATCCTGCCTCCCCTTAGAAAACCTCCTGAGGAAGCAAGGTCTGGTATCTCAGCCCCACTTTGACTATTAGCTAATGCCAGCCCCTCTAGCAGTGTGACATGTCTGTCCTCTGTGCTGGAAAGAATGCCAGATGTTTCCTTGCATGTCCACAATGTGCGTGCTCTTGTCCTGGCTCTGCTGGAGCAGTGATAGATGTCACCTTGCCCAGATAAATCCTGGATGTCTCCGTAGCTGGCCGTCAGCCCCCAGGACGTGACCTACTTTCCTTCTGGCTTGGTTGGAAAAGGAAGGAGCAGTTGGAGGCATGACTGTACTGTTCTGGGCTCCTCTCAGTTTGCCCAAAAGTTTCCTCATAGAGCAAAACTGCTGAGTGTTCTATATTAGTCAACATTCCTTCATGAAACAAAAACAACATTTCAGAACAGTTGGGCATTGAAAGTCCACTTTGCATATCCCTGTTGAATACAGATCTCCAAATTGAGAAACAAATCAAGAAACAATTACATATGAAGTAACATTTGAAATTGTTTCTCTTGTAATATTTCCATATCCAAAACATTATAATACTGTGTATCTATTTTATTTCTGAATAGTTTGATGTAGGCCGGAAAACTGCTCTTCTCAGAAAGGACTAAATCTTTATTCCAGACAGTATGGGTAATGTTAAAATGTCTTTTCTTTTTTATAAGAAGAGGGTGATAATGGTAGTTTTTTAAATATCCTCACTTAGCAACATAAGGATTTGACAACCCTATGTTTTTTTATTATTATTACTGAAATTACATTGGAGTCTGAAATCAAACTTCAATCACCAGGTTTTAACCACTTAAAAACTAAGCATGGACTGAATTTGTTTAAAGTGTTTCAGTTCAATAAACAGGTTTTGAACATGTACCTTTTTTCTTTTTAAAGCAAGAATCTGGAGACAGCTCACATGGAGCTTACGATTTGGTAAGGAGCACGTGCATTAATTACAAAGTATTTACAAGAGTGGTGAGTGCCTTGAAAAAAGCAGAGTGGGCCATGGGAGCTTAGGCAAAGAGAAGCCAAACTTACAGGTTAAAACTTGGTAGCCACATGGCCTGTACAGGCAAAGGCCCAGCAGTTAGGGAGACAGACTGATGGCTCAGGGGACCGAGAGCTAAGCTTCTAGCATGGGGCACACATGTATAATTATATTGGCCAGTTTTTCCTTCAGAACCTTGATAAAGAAATGAAAGTCAAGATGAAGGGGAAATTTCTTAACGTTCTTCTCCTTCCACTTGAGAGGCAGTGTGGTTTGGTGGTTCCAGCATAGAATCTGAATCCTAACCAAGTGTGATCTTTGCCAAGGTACACAGTTGCTCCTAAGCTAGGAGTGACAACAGTGCCCACCCGGAGGGTTTTTGTGAGGATTAAATAAGAGGATTTTGTAGACACAGTAATCACTCAGTAAATGTTAGCTGCTCTTTTCCTAGTGTGAAAAGGACCAAAAAAGGATGTAACCAGAGATTTTTGGGCTCGATATGAAAAAGAACTTCCTGATTAGAAGGGCTTGAAATCCTAGATTATGAAGTGGAGGCATGGCAACCAAGAGACTTTAAGGCAAAAAGCAAGCCCTAAACTATCTCTCATTAATTGATGGTGGCCCTAAACAGAGGCAAGGGCTGTGTGCGATGACTTCACAGGATCTCTTCCAGCCTAAAGGTTCCTGGAATGCACTTTAGCCTGGGCCTGCTGGCAGGTTTCTAAGACTACAGCAGTGATGTCCCTGCTATTGAGAACCCTGGGAACAGCTCAGCTCCATGGTCCAGCCATATAAATCTGATAAAAATAGGAGCTGAAATACCATCCCAGAGTTGCTATTTTTAAAAGCGTTTGAGATGCTGGATTGGGTTTATTTCTTCCTCAAATGGCATCTTGCTGTTCCCTCCTCCTGGTGGGCAGGATGCTAACGTGGCACATGTGAGGGACAGGAGCCAGAAGCCTGTGAGGCACATTTGTCAAGCAGCTTCATGCCTCGTGTCCACACCGATTGCCTGCCAGGAAGTCGCAGCAGGACCAGCTAAGATGTACCTGCCCTCCTAGGCCCCTTGCTCCTCTTGTCTCCTCCCTCTGCTCCTGAGGCCCCTCTGGTTGTCCCAGGAGAGAGGTGTCCTCCTCTTTCTTCAAGGTAGAGACAGAGCCAGAGAGGTAAAGGGAGGCAGAGGAAATGGGAACAGAGGTCGCATGGCTTGGAAGGGGACCAGGACCCAGACTGCTGCTCCTCAGGTTGTCTTGACCCACCCTGGGCACAGTTAGCCTTGAGAGGAACACAGCTTGCCTCTTGCTGAGCAACCAGTGGTGTCTGCAATGCGGATTGGTGAAGGGGTGCATTAGAGGTGGGAGTTGCTCAGATGGCTCCAGAACCCAGTGCTTGGGATCAGAAAGCTCCAGAATTGTTCCCCTCCTGTCCCGCAGATGATAGCACTTCTATGCAGCCAGCTAAGCATCTGGCTGTTACATTAAGAAACTGGAGGGGAAAGATCATGAATAAGCACATTGTGGCCCAAGGGGAGGAGTCACAATTACAGTTAGCTTCTGGGCACCCAGTAACCTGGCCTGGGATAGGCTGGCAGAGGGGAAGTGGAGAAGATCTGAATAAGTCTTATAGGTCAGAGCAGGGATTCCGCCTGCATAATAATAGCACACAATGCATTATGCGTTCATAGCAAATTCATATCCATTGCCTAATTTAATACCAATAATAGCCCTTTGAATAAGCACTGTTACTTCCATTTTTTCCTAGTAAGAAAACTAAAGCTATCTAGTGACAGAGGCAGAGTTGGAAATCAAGTCTCCAAGGGCAAGAGCAGGCCCTTCAGTTCTGTTTTCCAACTGAATGGAGCTTACATGGTGATTCATAGCAGGAATTGCAAACTGAGTTTAGCTCTAGTTCATGAAAGAGTTAGCAAAGTTTAGAAGCTGGGATGACTAGCAGTTAAGCTTGGCGGGGCTCCCTAGGTTCTTTGGGCCAGCCTTCCTATCTGTGAAACAGGGAGGCCCTTCCCTTTTCCTCTTCACTTGCCCAGGGCGGGGACTTCAGTTACTGTGTTCTTACCACCTAGCTTAATTCCAGGGCTGGAGCTGATGTGCAATTAGAATTTGTTGAATGAATGCTAGCCCGACAAAGCTGAAGGCACCATTCAGACAGACAGAATTACGTTAGACACGGGAAATACAGAAAAAACTTCTGCCCAGCAAGGTATGATTTAGGACCGAATAATCCTAAATACCTGTGGAAGAAGTGGGAAGCTGCCTTCATTTTGCTACTACAGAGCAGAGCTTGATGAACTATCTGTTCTCAACAGGTAAGTCCTCCAGTTTCAGCTGAAGCGAACTTTGAGCAGACACTTCTCTGAACCCCCTCTGCACTTATTGTCAGTGACACCATAACACTTAGTCACATCCTGTCCAGCCTTATTCTTGAACAGGAGCCCACAGTGGGCTTTCTCTCCCTGGCTGGATGGTAAGCTTCCAGGAGACAGGGACCCAGTCTCGCACTTCCTTGGAGCTATTGGCTCTGCCAGCACCGGGCTTTTCACACTTGGGGCTCAGTAAACACTGCTCCCCTATCAGAGTGACTTGGGGTCAGTGGATTGTCCAGCAGGTGACTCCTGGACTGTTTCCTGCATCCTGGGCACTTCCGAAGTTTGACTGGGGAAGTCTTGGCCCAGGAAGTAGGGTGAGGTGCCTTACTGAGGTTTCCCCTGCCTGTCACCTTCAGTAGGAAACAGAAACTGAGAAGCTTTCAGGATGCGAAAGAGGGGTGCAGAGGGAGCAGTTGGATTAGGGCACAGGTCGCGGTTCAGGGCACCTGACTGCTGTGCACTGATGGGTGGGCTCCCGGTATAGGGCCCTTCCTCTTCCGTGCCTTACTTTCCCCAGTGAGGGAGGGACACGGTTGCGCCACGTGGGAGCGTGGAGAAACCTTTGTTGGGTCCCGTTGTTTTTGGGGGTGTGCGGAGGCTGCGCTGGGCACATCCATGCAGGCGCCACTTGCAGGCAGCGCCCGCCCGGGCGCTCCGCTTGTCCCATCCGACCTCTTCTTCCACCCTCTGCGCCTGCCCCCCTCGATCCCCCGCGGCCCGCGCGCCGCGGCCCCCCTCCGGCCCCTTCCCGGGCCTCCGCGGCCCTCGCAGCATCCCCTGCCGGCGGGCGTCGCCCCGCCCGCGTGCGGCAGCGCCCCGGCCCTCCCTCCTCCTCCAGCCCGCCCTTCCACCAGCCCGCCCGCTCTCCGGAGTCGGCTCCCGGCAGTGTGCGCAAGCGTGTCCGGCCCCTTCCCCGCCCCCCGCCGGGGCCCGGGCCGGGCCCCCGCCTCCCAGCAGGCGGACCTGCCCGCTCCCAGGCCGGCCCCGAGCCCGGGACAGGGACCCGGCCGAGCGGAGCTGTCGCGCCAGCGCTGCGCCGCCAGCCCGCGCGCCTAGCGGATCGGAGCTGTGCGCGAAACTGTCCTGCCCCGCCCCGCTCCACCCGCGAGGGTGAGTACGCGGCGGCGGGCCCCGGGCGGGCCCGGGGGGAGGGCGGGGAGCGCCTCGGGGTCCCGGCTGCCTGGCCCCCAGCCCCGCGCCGCGGCCAGGGAGGTGGTCGGGCCCGGCACGTGGGTGCCGCGCGGGTCCGGGTCCGGGTCCGGGTCCGGGTGGGGTGGCCGAAGCCCTGGGAGCCCTCTCCCTGGAGCACGTTTTAGCGGGAAGCCGGCCCCCTTCGCTCCCTTGGAGTGAGCAGGCAGGATGGTCCTCTCCGGAAAGTTTCTAGCCCCCACCGCCGCGCCCGGGCTGAAGAGGCGACCCCACCTTCAGCATCCTCTGAGCCGTGGTTTCTGCCACAACTACCCCCATCAAGTCCAGCAGACCGTGGGCTGGCTTTGCTGGGTCCCTCTGTGTGCAGGAGTCTCAAGGTCGCCAAGCAGAGCCCAAAGGTGGGGGTTGCTAGCTGCAGGCGGGCCGTATCCAGGACACCAGATCCAGGTTATGGGGTCTTTGGGCCTAGGTGACTGTACCCCAGAGCTGTCTGGGGAGTGAGCACTGGGGAAGAGTAGGGTTGGAGTGAGGATGGGGTACAGCTGGGATTAGAACCTGGGGCTCAGCGGTCTGTTCTGAGTGCCTCCATGGGGCCCCTGCTGGAGGGACGTCTCCGTCAGCCCCGAGCTGACAACATGTCTGCCTGGACTGCCCCCTCCATTCCCATTCTTGGGGGGAGGCTCCGTCTCGGCCATCTGAAGCCCGATTCCTCTGTTTCACAGACGGGGGCCTGAGGGCCTGTCTTGGGGGCTCCTGCCAGAAGGCTGGGATGTAGGCAGTGTTCGGCTGCTCAGCTGTGCATGTCTGACCTCATGGCCACCCACAGGCTGGCACCCCCACAGGCTTCTCAGGGAAGCCTGTGCTTCCACCACTGGAGGGAGGCACAGTGTGGGAGCCAAGTTGAGGCCGACTCACTCTTTGTGGAACCTTGGGGACGGCCCTGTACTGGTTAGGTTGTCCCACGGGGCACAAACCAGGGCCACTTTTTTTCTGAGCTTCCCTCTGCCACCTGCCTCTTCCAGGTCCTGACCCTGGCATCTCCCAAGGTTTTCAATGAGTTTATATGTGTGAAGTGCTTGGAAATGTTGCCTGTGCAGAGCAAGAGGCATATGAGTGTTGGCTCTTAGTAATGTTTCTGTCATACTCTTACTCTCAATCTGCCCCATAACTCTCAAGAGGGTGCCTGGGAGGTACCCCCTGCTTGGGGCTTGGAAACTAACTTGTGGGGCTTTTTCTCTTTGCTGGGAGCTAGCCTAGGAATACCCCCTTCCCCTAGCCAAGGTGGCCCAGGTTCCCTCTGACCTGTTCCCCACTCTGCTCCTGTCCACACTCCCAGTGCATTCTGTGCCCTTTCCCCCAGCAGCAGCTTGCTGCACGGGAGTGCTTTACTGTCTGAGGGGTCCTGGGCTCCATCAAGCCGCTGAGGGAGAGCCAGGAGTTGAGGCCAGGCCCCCGGAGTCCAAGTTGACAACAGGTAGGAGGGAGTGTAGATAGATGGGGAAGTTAGGGAAGTCAGAGTCACCTGCTTGGACTGTGAGCTGGGCGGGCATCTGTCACTTGAGCGTGGCTGCTGCTCAGGACACCAGGGACCCCCACCTTCCCGAGCCAAGGCCTAGGCCAAAAGGAGCCTACGGTGCCTTCTGGGCTATCCTCCCGCCCTTCCCTCACCTCTGTCCTTACCCAGAGCAGTGACTCACCGCATGCTCCTCAGGAAAGTTCCTTGGCCCTCCGCCCTCACAGGCCTTTTAGACTCTTAGGATCCAGCTTTCTGGGAAGAACCAAGAATCTGCTTTTCTGGAATGTAACAAATCCTGGAAAGGAACCCCCTTCACCAGCAGAAGAGAGAGCACACCCTGCCCCACCCTTCTGTGTTCCAGTCAGCCTATGTTGTTCAGTAGTTACCTCACACTGGCCTGGCATCTGTCCTGCATTGGGTGCCCAGAAGACCCTATCTGGGCACGTTCCCTGGGTTTCTCCCCAGAGAGGCTGCCCCAGTGGGGCTGTGAATTCCTCCTTTCAGTGTGGCTCAAGGGTTTGTACCTTCTGTCCTGGGGAAGGACGCACTCTAGATATTGTATACACTCTGTATACTGTAGGATAATATATGATCTGCTCAGTCTATACATTCTCTATACTGTGGGGTAATATATGAGTGTATGCTCAGTCTATATGTGTCTCTGTACTGTGGGGTGATATACGAGTGTGAGCTCAGTCTATACCTCTCTCTATACTGTGGGGTAATATACGAGTGTATGCTCAGTCTATATGTCTCTCTGTACTGTGGGGTGATATACGAGTGTGAGCTCAGTCTATACCTCTCTCTGTACTGTGTGAGCTCAGTCTATACCTCTCTCTGTACTGTGGGGTGATATACGAGTGTGAGCTCAGTCTATACCTCTCTCTGTACTTTGGGGTGATATACGAGTGAGCTCAGTCTATACCTCTCTCTATACTGTGGGGTGATATACGAGTATGAGCTCAGTCTATACCTCTCTCTGTACTGTGGGGTGATATACGAGTGTGAGCTCAGTCTATACGTCTCTCTATACTGTGGGGTGATATACGAGTGTATGCTCACTCTACACGCTCTCTCAACTGTGGGATGATACATCATGGTTCCAGCCCACAGGGAATGGGGAGCTCCAACATCCTGAAAGGGACCCTCCATATCCCAGAGTGTCCCAGAGTCCGAGGGCCGTACTGCGATCAAGGGAGCCGGCAGAACACAGCTGAGCTTCTGGCCTGCGGACATGCACCCTGGGTGCTGGAAGGCAGGGCTATCAGGTGGTGGGGCTAGGCATCCAGAAAGCTTGCGGGACCTGCTCCCTCCCTCCAGACTCCTGGGCTACCCTGATCTGATTGATTCCCCTGGCCTTCAGGGTCCTCCTTCCTTCTCAAGCCCAGGGCCCTGGCCTGAAGCTGTTGGCTGCCTGCGGAAATGGCCAGGGTAGGCAGGTTTAGGAGGCTGTGGTCATCAGTCTCTCCTCCCCTTCACTGTCCCTTCCCAGAGGTGCTCCTCACTTGTACACGAGTGTTCTGAGCCATCAGCTGCAGGCTGCTGGCCAGCCCTGGCCTCAGAATCTCCTGTGACCCCACCACATTCCATGTGTGTGTGCGTGCGTGTGTGTGTGTGTGTGTGTGTGAAAGAAAGAGAGAGACACACACAACTTATTCTACAGATAAAGGAAGTGGTCAAATGCAGTGCATGCAGGAGCAACAGTATGTGATGCACAGGGGCCCCGCCAGGTGCTGTGTGGCTCTAGATTAGTGCCCCTGAGCCCAGCAAGAGCTGAATCCTGTTAAGGGGCTGTGCTGGGCTGATTGCTTTTCAGGGTGAGGAGGCCATGGGTGCCCAGAGCTGCAGGTTTCCTTTTTGTCTTGGCCCCTTGCCTGGGACCAGGAGACCTGTAGGCAGATTACTGCCCTATCTCTGCCTGCCCCACCCCTACAAAGCTGCCCTGCAAAAGATGATGTGACTGCTCTAAAATCTGAAGCCCTGGCTTCTGTCCAGCAGGGAGGAAGGTGCTGCTGCCAGGGCTGAGGTGAGGTGTGGGCCTGGTGAGGCCCTCAGATTCTACCTGGGCCTTGAGTGGGAGGAGTGCTTGGCTGCTGAAGCCTGGAAGCCATGTGGCTGCTTCTACCAGTCTGCAGCTTCACCCCAAAGCCCCAGTGGGTCACAGACTCAGGATCTTGCTTTCTTTTGCAGGGTGCGGAGTACGGTGATGGCTCGAAAGGGACTGGTCTGGGTTGCAGAGAGCTGGGCCGGGACACTGTTCTTTTTTCCTGGGGTCCCAGACCATCCTCCACAGGGTGGGTTCGGGGAGTGCTACAATGCTTGGGCCCAAGTCTTCTGCCCCTTGCAGCCTCTGTAAACAGCTGTCCTTAGAATAAAAGGGACTTAGCAAATATCAAAAGTAGTCACCATTTATCAATCAAGCACTTACTAAAAGCCTGGCTCAAAAAACTTAAGAAAAAAACTAGGTGTGTTATACACTTATTTTCATCACATCCTTTAGGCCTCATACAACCCTTTCATTGAGCCCATCTATAAATGAAGAAATAGAGGCTAGAGAAGATGAAACTTTGTGACCAAGGTCACCCAGCTCATAAGCCGCGGAGCTGGAACTCATATCTAGGCGTGTTTCCCAAACCTGCGCTTCCAGCAAGTTCTCCAAGCTCCCCCAAGCTCATCTCACCCTGTCCTGTGATCTCTGAAGAAGCGCAGGCCCAGAGGTGTGAAGGGGTTTGTCCAAGGCCACAGTGTATTGGTGACAAGGCAGACTACACACCCGGGTCTGCTGATCCCCAGCCCAGAGCTCTGTGTGCCACCTTGGACCCCGCATCTCGCCCTGCCCATCCTGGCACCCTGTCCCCTGAGGCTAGGCGGTTGGTTGGCTTGTTCTCATTCCCTGCCCGCACTGCTGCTGGCCCCTCCCAGCCCCCACCTCTCCTGCTTTTCTGCTGGTAATTGCTTCCATCTGGCCACTGCTACAGGCTCTTATTCCTTTGGAAGTGTGCTCCCCTGCTGCCGCCCACATGGCTGTGAGGCCTCATCCTGCAACCTCAGTGACACATGGGTTAGAGGAGGGGCCCTGGGGGTCTGAGCTCAGGCACCCAGGCCAACGTGGTCATTACTGACATCTGGCATCCCCGGATTCCACCCCATCCACGCCTGGCTGAAGGCTGGAGAGGCACCTGGAAGACCCGCGTCTCAGTCTGAGTTGCGAGCTTCCCTTCTGTGCGCTCACAGGCTGCCACAGCCCCCACTGCCCCTTAGAGGTGGTCCAGGTCTCCCGTCCCTGGTTGGAAGGGATGGAGAAGTGGGGGCCAGCAGGGATGTGCCCTGGGGACATGCTTGAAGGTCATGGTGGGGGAAATGAATCAGGCCACTTACAGTGGCAGAGGCCGAGGCACCTGGGAGCTCTGGCAGGTGGGAATGGGGCTGACTTGTTTCCTTTGATGCCAAGCCAGTGACTCAGAGACAGCAGAACTAGCGATGAAGCTTCATTGTTTGGTCCTGATATAAAGTCAAACTGTGCATTTTAGCAGTGCATTTAATGCTCTGACTCCTTGCTTCGGACTCTGCCTAGGCTGCAGGGGGGGACCCCAGCAGGGTCCTCAGGGTGGCCATCTGAAGATTTCAGAAGCACGCTTCTGCCTGTGGAGGGGGCAAGTTTTCCATCATTTAAGATGTTCAGGTATAGACAGGTCACCCTGACAGGGACATTCCACAGGAGATGCAGCCACTGGAGGGGCATGTTTGTGGTGTGGAATGGGCTTGAAAAATCCTAAGGCATCTTCCTCCCTGAGGTTTTGGGATTTTAGTGTAAGCTCCAGAAACCGGTCTGCCTTGTTCACCGCTGTATTCTTCATGCCTGGAATGATGTCCAGCAAATAGTAGGTGCTTAGTAAATATCTGTCTGATGAATGAATGGAAGATGTAGCTCGGGTTTTCTGACTTTGTCTTCACTTAGCCCTGCTTTGCTTCCTGCTTTTCCTGGGGTGAAGGGAGAAGAGCTTCCCTTTGACAGGGGAGCTGTTTGTCAGAGAAGGCCTGGCCGTGGGCATCTCTGGAGAGGCAGGCAGGGGCTGCAGGTGGGGAGGGGCCGGAGTGTGCCCTTCTGAGGAGCGCATGCCCTCCACTCCGCCCACCCCAGGGTCACCAGGGCACATTCCTTAGCCCAACCTTATGTCCTTGCACAAACTGGTGCTAATCTCACTTCCTGTCCTTGACATCAGACCTCCCTTTCTAATTTGGGTCCAAGAAAGGTGCCCTGGAGGTGGGACCCTCTCTCAGGTGTCCTCAGGATGAGGGGCTCCCTCCTGTTCTTGCTTCACTGCAAATGACTGTATTCCCTCTCTCTGTTAGCTTTCCACTTAAAATTCCATTTGAAAGTGGGACAGAGGGCTTCTTGGCTTTAAGAATTTTTATTTAGAAATAATAGAAATTTCTTATTTGGGGGCTTTAGTGTAAGCTCCAGAAATTTATTTATAAATTTAGTGTAAGCTCTAAAAATTTATTTCTAGAAATAAAATAAAATCAAAAACCTATTTGGCTCTGGTCAGACTGTTGTTATTTGCCCAGTAGCTTGCCCCACGTGTTCTTAGCCTCGGCCTTTGCTCTCACTGTCGCCCCGCGTGGCTTGAGCGCCATGGTCATCACCTTCCTGAGCTGCAAGTGCCTTCCGCATCCAACTGGAGCCTCTGTTCTCTGGGGCATCCCTGAGCGCTCAGTGCACGGTCACCTACCCCTGCCCTCTCTGTTGGGACCTGAGAGGACCCTGTGCTGGCTGGCTTCTCATGCAAGCTGTGTCCTTTCCCCAGCTGCACAGCCTCGGGCTTACCATGAGCCTCCCTTTCCTCCTCTGAGAAGTCAACACGTCTGAATGAGAGCATTTCACATAACAGCACAGTGCCTAGATTCCAGTACTCTGTGAATGCTGGCCGGTGCTTCTCTGTGATTCGGCGTGGGGCCCAGAGACTGAAGAGTGTCTCCCTTCTGGCCCAGGAGAAGGCCAAGTGGTAGGGTGGTAGGGCAGGGGCTGCTCCTGAAGACATCCCTTGCCTCCTCTCTGTCTCTTCCCAGCTGAGTGACCTCAGGCAGCTGTCTGGCTTTATTGGTTCTCCATCAGTCCATCTGTTAACTGGGCTCACAGTTTCTGCCTCCCCACCCCACACACTTACAGGGTTGTAATGCACAAATGAGGTAGACTTCTGCAAGCTGGGAGAGGCCTCAGAGGCGGACTGTAGGGCGGAACCTGTGACCTGGCTCTGCTGTGGCACACAGTAGTCACTCAATAATGATTTCTCTTTGCAGATGATGAACCGAAATGCAGAAAAGTAACTTGCTGTTCAAGGTCCCAGAGCATCTCCCTCCAGGCAGGGGACTGCCTCAGGAATGACCCTGGGTTTCTTGGCCCTCTGTCTCAGCCCTGTCCCCATCTCGATCCTTTCTCCAGGCCTGCGGTCACTGAGGGCCTGGTGTCCCTGGACCTGCCTGCAGCCCTGGGTGCGCTAGGCTGAGTGCTCTGGCAGTGCCCGGGCCTCTGCTGCTCCAGGACTGCCTTGGGCTGCCGGAGAGGGTTGGCAAGAGCTGGTAGGGGCTGGGTGTGAAGAGCCCATCCTCACAGGCTGTGGAGGCCCCTCTCTTCACACTTAGTGTCCCCTTCTCCTCTTGTCTCCTCTTGGGTTTTTTTCTTTATTTCTTGTTCCAATCCTATTCTGCTTTCCTTCCTTTTTCCTCGCCTAGGTTTCTCTAACCTCCTTCAGTCATATCTTCTCTCCTCTTGTCCCTCTGTCCCCCTCTGCCCCACCTTCTGCATCCAAGTTGTCCAGACAGTGGCAGCTGGACCTGGGGCCGGGTCGGGTGGGCATCCTGCAAGGCCGTGGAGGTCCTGGAGCACCTCCTCTTGTTGGCAGTTCTAGCATTTTTGAACAAAATGGCTCTTGCATCAGTTGGGTTTGGTGAAGGGACAGTGACTACCTAAAGTACGGAATGCTTCGATCTTAAGCTCAGTTCCCCGGGCCCTCACCCACTTTGTTGCACACCTTCCTGGGCAGGAAGCTGAGATCTTGTCCTGGAGCCTGAGGGTCTCCAAAGAGCTGGCTGGTGGAACTTCTCTGCCCTCTGCCCTCCACCGTCCTTTCTCCAGAGCTCCAGCTCTTTCCCCGAGAGGTACCTGTTAGGATGGAGGAGGCTGGCCAGAACAGAGAGAATCCTGCCCAGATGCCGTTCAGGTAAACACAGTGTGTTGTATTTGGGCTGATGCATGTGTTTGTGGGTGTGCCTGCACGCTATGGTGTGCAGATGAGTGTGTACACGGGTCGTGGGAAAGAGAGAACGTGGGGTGCGCTCGTGTGGGCCGAGGCCCCCGCTTCTGGGCCTGTCACTGCACAGGTCTGCACCTAGCCCAGAGCTCTCCTGTCTATGGTCCGTGTGTGCCTGGCTTTGCACTGGGGCTTTGCTCTGTCTTGGGGGCCAGCTGGTGCCCTGCCGTAGTCTTGCGCAGCGGTGACTGAGCCCTGGCCTCCCATTCAGCTGCCTGGGGGCTCTTGGGCGAGCATTTGCCCCCACCTCCCAGAATGGAGGCGTGTGGGGGCTTCCTGCCCGGCATCTCAACCCTGCCAAGGCGGAGGGAATGGGGAACAGCTGCGTCGGCTGATTCCGGCTCCGTATGGATTTGGTTTGAAAACAAAGCTCCCTCTGTGTGTTCTCAGGCCCCTTACATAACCAGGGGGCGGGGGCGGGGCCAGCAGGCAGGACGGGGTGGAGATGGGGACAAGGAGACACCACGGTGGGATGGCCGCGAAGGGGCAGGGACCAGGGACCGTAGAGGAGAGAGCACCGGAAGGGAAAGAAAGGCTAGGCTTGACCCTATAATTCTACTTCCTGCCTCCTGGGGGGGAAGGAGCTGATTGCCAGGTCTGACAACTTTTACCCGGCTGAAGCCTTGTCTTCCTCGCCTTGGGCCCTACCTGCCAGCCCTGAACCCCCAAGCAGGGGGCTGCAGGAGCTCTCTGGGAGCGAGGCCGGATCAGGTTTGGGGCTGGGCCCAGGAGGCCACCCTTAGCCCCACCCTTAGCCCCACCCTGTAACTGAACACATTCCGCAAAGAAGGGACTCATTCTCCAACCCTGCTCTTGGGCACCTGGTCACTCCTCCCGGACCTGGCTCCAGAAGCCCCTTGGCTCCCCTCCCCCTCCTTGCTGCTGGCCCCGCCCAGCCGCCCCGAGGCCCCGCCCAGCGTGCTCACCCAGCTCCCACCAGGACTCCCGCAGCTCCAGGCCCTGTGGCCCACCCCCTGCGAGGCCTTGTGGCTCCGTCCCTGCTTCTCCCCAAATAATCACACATGCCCCTCTTGCCATCACTGTCCCTGCAGCTGACCAAATAGAGTGAAAAGAAAATGTTCTTTTTCCGAACAGCTGGACTGACAGGCCAGGAAGGCCAGGTGAGCTGGCCAGTCTTGGGTGTGTTCTTGGGGGTGGGACATGCCCTCTCCCCAAGCCCAGAATAAGTTAGCTCCTGGGCAGGAGCATCAGTAGGGCCAGGGCCCCTGTGGAGGCCTGGTCTGCTGGATTTTCTCAGGGTCCGTGTCTTCTCTGTGCCTCTGTTTCTCTGAGTTTTTTTCTGGTGCCAGGCGTCCTTGGCAAGAACCCCCGGATTTAATTTGGCCCTAAAGGTAGTGCTTGTCCCCAGTCTGTAAGGGATTAGCAGCCTGAGAACAGGGATGGCTTCTGAAAGGGCAGTGGGGAGGAGCTTCTGGCCAGGCTCCAGGTTTTCTGTCTGGGCACAGGTGACAGAGAACCCAGGGTTCCGGTGCTTGGCCTGACTTCTGGCACGGCCCCTCGGTTACATTTAGGGTATCTGCCTGGGGGTAGCCTGTAGGACGGTGGGAAGCTCTGTGGAAAGGTGTGAGGAGGCTCAAACCTGCTCAACGGGCCCTAGACTCTGGAATCCTCTGTCCCCAGGCCCTGACCAGTGCCCGGATGATCCTGAAATTGCTAATGCCTCAGGGCTTGAGCCCAGAAGGTCTGATGGGCAGGTGGTGTCTGGAGGCGGGCCTTAGAAGTTTCCCGGATTTCTGTGCGGGTGGATTTGTGTGAGGGTGTCCGGGAGGACAGTCTCTGGTCCGGATCAGGATTAGGTGCAGGTGTGGAGTCCGGGACAGGCTGGGAGGATGGTGAGTGAGCCCTGTGAAGGCACCTCTGCCCCATGCCTGACTGCCCCAACAGACTGCCCCAGGATACTGCCCAGCCCCCCAGGACAGGTGTATTGAGGCCCTGTGTCTTCTTCCCACTTGCTTTCCTGCAGGCCCCTTCCCCACACACTCCCCCTCCCCATGTCCTTCTGACACGACAGGAGTGGGCCTGTCTTCCTGGGAGCTGAGCTTGGCCAGGCAGAGGCTAGGAGCCTAGGGCTTCACCCAACTTTTGGAGATGAAGAGATCCCCAAAGGGCTGGCTTAGCCACTCCCCGCTCCCCTTGACGCTCCCTGGCTCCAGGGACCTACAACATGACAAACAAACTCAGCTGGAGCCAGAGCTGAAGTTGAAGGAGCCCTGTGCTGAGGGATGGGGGAAGAAAGCACCCTGGCAGAGGAGGCCCAGCAGACCCCAGAAGCTGTATGTCGGGGTGGGGAGGTGGGCAGGGAAGGAGTGTGTGTGTGCGTGTATGCATTCCTGTGTGTTCCACGTTGGCTTTGGAGTGTGCACCTGTGTTTGAGCAAGGATTGCTCTGTTTGTGTGCGGAGATGCGTTTGTAGGTTTCTGACGTGGGAGGGTCTGCTTAGAGCAGGGTTGGTCTTGAGAAGGAGCACAGAGTGTCTTTCCAGTGCCTCCTGGCTCTGGGGTGTGGGTGGGGCTGTGACGTTCAGATTTGCCTCCACCTATTGGTTGGCTGACCCCCGGGGCCGAGGTGGCCCTGGGTGGTCTCTGATAACCTGAGTGTCAGCCAGCGCTTCCACCTGCTCAGCCTTGAGCCTTGCCCCAGAGGGACCATCACTCAGACTCCCCCAGCAGCTCCTCAGATGCCTGCCACCACTCCCCTTCCCACATCATTAACCTTTATCAGAGGGGGGTCTCATATGCACAGCTTTTCTCTGAAAAGTCTTACTGATGTGAAACAACCTCAGAGGGGCTTCTCTGCCGGCTTCTCTGTTCCCAAAGGACAGGCTGATGTGGGAAATGGAGGTTGTGGTTTTTCTTCTCCACGGTTTTATTTCTCGTCTTGAGATTCACTGTGAGAGCTACACTCTGTGCCCCCAACATGCAGAGCATTCCCACTCTCCCCTAGTCCCACCCTCCACTCCTATAACCCTGTTGGGCTCCTAATAGGAATTCAGGAGTGGACCATCCCCTGCTGACACCCTGAAACCTTGTTCCAGAACCACTGCAGGCCAGTTGGCAGTGCAGTGCTGACCTGAGTACCTGGTGAGGGGAGGAGAGAGGGCTAAGTCCTGCAGAAGTGAGGGTCCCTGTTTTAAGTAGGGACCATGGGAGAGGTTTCCCTGCTGCTCCTGGGTGCTCCAGAGCAGCCATCCTCGTGGCAGCCACGCATGGAGCCAGAATCAGAATGCTACCCATCTGGAAAGGGGTCCCAGCACCTGTACTGTCCCTGCTTGGGGACTTCGGTTGTACCTGCTCTGGACAGGGGACATCACCTAGCAGAGGGAACATCACTCTGGAAATAAGGCTTTGCTCAAATGAAGAAGGGATTGCTTTTAAGTTGCTGTGGAGAGCACGTGCTGTTCAGGAGAGGGGCCCATCTCTGCCCCCGCTGAGGATCTGTGGCCAAGCCCTATGGGGAGGCCTCTCAGGTGGCACTGATCGGAGGCCTCAGTACCTCTCCTAGGTGCTACACCCAGAGAGAGAGAGTATGGCTTCTCCAATGGGCCTCCACCCTCTCCCTCACCTCATGCTTCTCCCACCCCAGCCATGCACCCAGAGTCTGGCCAGTACGTGGGAGCCACATTTAGTGCAGGTGGAGTCTGGGTAGCAGTGCCCTTCCCTCTCTCCCGGGCAGCTGTGTGTGTCCCATGTGGCATGTGCAGTGGCCCAGCAGCCAGTAGGCGAGGTGAGTGTAGTTACAGTGTGGTGGCAGGTGGGAGCCGTGGGTGGCAGGTCTGTGGACCCCTCCCTTTGCTGAGGTAGGGCTGACCTTGAGTGGAGAGGGGCTGCCATGTGCTGGGGGCGGCCTAGACCAGGGTGATCTTCAGCCTCTAGGGGCAGAGTGCTTGCTCTGGGCCCAGCCTGTCCCTAGGCTGTGGGCTTTCAGTCCTGGGATGTGTTTCCAGGCTCACACACCTCCCAGGACGTGTCCTGTGACCTTCATTGCACGGATGAGGAATCTGAGTCGCTGAGAGATGTAAGACCTTGTGAGGGTTACCCGGCCTGTGACCACAGAGTTCAGACGGACCCCAGAGAGCTTACTGCACATCTATGCATGCCATAGAGTAGGGGTTCCCAGCAGTCCAGACTGCTTGAATTTATTCCTGGCTCTACCCCTGGCTAACTGTCTGACTTTGGGACCCTTAATTTAACCTCTGTGTGCCTCAGTTTTCTCATCTGTAAACCAGAGTAAAAGAGGATTACCACACAGTATTTGTATACAGTAGCTGTGGAACAACCCCAGGGATCTTTTAAAGATGAATCCAGGGTATCGCTTGTCTGTTAATACCCTCCAATAACTCCTCATGGGACCTTGAATAAAGTGCAAGCTCCTGGGATGGCCTGTGACATCACACACCACCTGGCCTATGTGGCCTCCCTGGCATCACCGCCGGCCTTTCCTTGCTGTCTCTGATTACTTCAGACTTGTTTCCATTTCTTACACCTCACAGGCCCGCAGAGTCTTTGCTCCTCTCTCATTCTGGAATCTTCTGCCTTCCTACTTCCCATTTCCCCATCCTTGCCTGCTCACCTTTTGCTTAGGTCTGAGGTCAAGGGCCCAGCTCCTCGGAGATGTGCCTACCCTGCAGTCCCAAGGAGCTGCCCCCTCTCTCCCCGCCCATAGCCCTGTCTTCTTGGCCTCATAGTCTGTATTATCATTACATTACCTCATTCGCTGATCTGTTTGCAGTGCCCCCCCCCCCAGGTATATACTGCAGAGGGGCATAGGCCTGTTACTTGTTTCCTGCTGTGGTACAGTGCCTGAGGCAGTGCCCTGCACACAGTAGGGCACAGTCTCTGTTGGTTCCTGTTCGTGCCCTACTGCCCAGCCTCTCTGTGTGCCTGGAGGCC